AAAAATATGACCAGATGAACTCTGAGGAAAAAGACTCAGTGTTTCATGTAGTCATATCACAGCCTGGAGCCCATTGTGTTTTAGTGAGGAGTGGCTCAGCCTGTCTCCGGTTACCCAAGTACAGTTTGGGCATTAGAGGGTGCTCCGTAAATGCCGTGGGGCCTTGGAGAGGGACAGTGCTGATATTTTTACAGCCAAGCATGCTGTCTCTAACACAGGACTGAGACACAGCTCCTCAAAAAGAATAATTGCTCTTCCTGACATAACTTCAAAATTTGGGAGTCTTTCCCCAAACATCTGTGTCTCCCTTTCTGGTCCAGGGGTCCAAGAACTTATGTTACAAGCATTTACCTTCCCCCACCTTTTCCAGTACTTGCCATGAGAAATCCAATGATATTGGTCAGGTGCTTCCTTTCCTTGGTCCTAGAACTACATTGTTTCAAACCCTAGGAGACTTCTCTAGAACTGATCTCTTGAGACAGCCAACCAGTTCTACCATATATGCTTCTTCTTGACCAATACCTACATCAGCCTAGTCTAAGATGGTAACATGACTTTTCCCACCCGGCCACCGCCCCTGGCACCTGGCACGGTGCCTGCCCTCAGTTGGCACTCATGCATGCTCATTGAATGAATGACTGAGAACCAAGTGAATACTCCTGTGACTCAGTGCAGACCATTTTATGTGTTAAAACCAGCTTCCTTGGACATGTTTCTTCACAAGTCAACCATGGCTGGGTTAACATGACTCAGGATTAATCAGTGACTAGACTCCAAGCCTCTGGAGGCAGGAAGGCAGAAGAGCAGACTTCCTGCCTGAACACTAGGCCGCAATTTGCCTGTGTGAAAAAAAGACCATATGAACCCCTGACCTCTCTTCTTTTTATTCCTCTGTCCCTTGGAGCCCATGTAGGAGAGACAAGCTGCTGTCATCTACCAGGCAGCTCGGCTCAGCTGCTTGGTGTTGGGTCACAAGCAGGGAACCATAAACCGTACACAAATCCTTGGGCTGTTGTCATTGTTTGAAATTTCTAGAGGCCTCTCTAGACCAGAGCTGGCTCCATGCAGGAACATTTCCTCAACACCCCCTGCCAAAGACCATGCCACTGAAGATCAGTCTCGAAGGCTCTAAATAGTGGAGTTGCTCCATCATGAGGCTGCCATCGAGCTGAGCTGTCATTTTTGACTCTGAGCTGTCTAATATAACATAGGCGTCAAGATGTGGCCTGGCAGTTAGCAGGGTGTGTACTTGCCTCTGCTCGGCCTTCTGCTTTCCACTAGTCACAGAGGCCACACAGAGGTAAGGCTGCTCTTTGAGTCCTGCTCTGTCACTCCTGGGCAAAAGGTTAAGCTAGGCTGTAAGATCAGATGCTGTTTCATAAAGCTCAGGCTTCATTTTAAATGTAGCAGGTTACTCCTCACTCACTGAACAAGTGTTGAGCGCCTACTAAGTGCTCACAAGGCGGTAAGGGAACATTCAACGTGGCTCCTGCTCTCACATAACTTGCATTTTAATGTAACCTGCTGATACACACTATGATAAGAGAAATGGGAAATGGTATATGATCTACCTTTTTTCTTCTTTCATTGGGCAGTATTCATAGAGAAACTCATGGCCTAGCCACCATACAACCTAACAAACAATGACAAAGTGGACACTGATAAAACCATGACCCAAGTCTAGATTGAGGATAGTTGCTAATACCCCAGAGGCCCTCTGTCTGCTTCTCCCTAATCAAAAGCAATTCGCACCCGCAGTCCCCCACTATGGTTTCCATTCTCCTGCCTTTTGAAGTGATCATTTTCTTTCTTTTCTTTTTGTTTTATCCCTGTGTATGCATCACTAAAGAATGGAGCTTAATTTGGTCTGTTCTAGGTACGGAGTCCTCCTCTACATTTTCCTTAGCATCTGGCTTCTTTCATTCAAACCATTTTTTGTGAGATTCATTCATTTGGTTATGCAGGGTTATAGTTTGTTCGCTTTAATTGCTGTACAGTGTTCTATCATATTACTATATAACAGTGTGTCCCTTCAACACTGACGAGCAATTGTATTGTTTCCTACTCTTATCTGCACACAGTGGGGTCATGTGATAGGTGTGTCAGCTTTAGTGGCTATAGCCAAACAGTCCCACAGCCAAACCCTATTCCTTACGTGTCCATCCTCAGTATATGTGAGTTCCTGTAGCTCCACATCCTTACCTGCACTTGATACTACCTCATTTTTTACTTTCTGCTATATTTTTCACCATAAAATATTTCATTGGGATTTTATGTAATACATCCCTGATTACTAAAGAGACCAAGAGATTTTTTTTTCATATGCTTTTGGACTGTTTGTGTTTCTTCTCCAATAATGTCTACTATATCTTTGCCTATTTGTCTATTGAGTTGGTTTTTTCTCTTGATGATTCATAGTTATTTTTGTGTTCTGGTTGCTAATTGTTTAATGGTGATTATATATGGGGCACATGTCTTCCCTTAATTTTTATTTTCTGTATGGTTTCATGAGGAAATTGCTAACTCTACGATGTAATTGTGTTTATTACCCTATTTTTATGATTCCTACATCTTCAGTCTTGGCTAAAAAAACCTCTTTCTACCTTGAAGTCATGCACATTTTATACTGTCTTCTAAATATTTTATAACTTTTCCTTTCATTTGCTTTTAATTTTGAAATAATTGTAAACTCAGGAAGTCGTAAAAATAGTGCATGAGTTCTGTGAACCCTTCCCTCAGCATTTATCAATGATGATATCTTATCTAACAATAGGTAAAACCTAGAAACTGACACTGGTAAATGCTGTTAACTACACTACAGACCCTATTTTAGTCTTCACCAGATTTTATATGCACTTTGTGTGTGTGTGTGTGGTTTTTATTCAATTTAACCCATGTATAGATTTGTCTTGCATTGTTTAGTGCTTAATCCACATGGAATCTAAAATGGAATTGCTTTTGTATATAGTGTGAAGCAAGGATCCTGTCTACCCCTCTCTCCCTATGGATAACCAATTGTTCTAGCATCATTCATTAAATAGTTCATCCTTTCCCCCACTGATATGCAATGCCTACTTTGTAATAAATTAAGTTTCCACATATGTTTAGGTCTGTTTCTTATCTCTCCTACTCCAATGGTCTATTTGTCCCTGCTCCTACATACTGTCTTAGTTACTTCATATGAGTATCTTGCTATATGGCAGTATCATTCCCAAGACTTTGCTCTTCTTCAGGAGTGTCTTAGCTACTCCTGACCTTTCTCTCTCCAGTGTAAATTTGGAATTGGTTTTTCAAGTTTTATGGATGAGTTTGTTAGGATTTTTATTGGAACATCATTGAACGGCATTGTGGAGAACTGCCATCTTTACAATAGTGAATCTCCCTACACCAAGGACATGACTTCACTCTTAATTTATCTAAGTTTTCTTCACTGCCTTTTAGGAAATTATTGCAATTTTCTCCATAAAAAGCCTGCATATATTTGTTTAGGTTTATTCCTAAGTAAACCTTTACTTTGCCTCTTTTGTTTCTCATATAAATTCTATCATTTCAAATACATTTCAAACTAATTATTGTTGGCATGTTGATGATATATGGTTGAATTTTGCGTATTGATTTTTTATCAATGTTGCTAAAGTCTCCTATTAATTTTAAGAATCATTTATAATAATAATTCTAATAATTATTTATAAATTATTTTGGGTTTTCTGAGAAGATAATCATGCAGTCTGCAAATAAGGATGGTTTTACTTCCAATCCTTATTCCTTTTATTTCTTCTTGTTGTTTTACAATTGACCTAAACAAAATTAGAGAAATAGTGATGGTACCCATCTTTGTTTGAATTTGTAAAGAGAAAACATCTGACATTTCACCATTAAATATACTGCTTGCATAAGCTTTTGCAGTTGCCTTAGATCAAGTTAATAAATTTCTTTCCCTTCCTACTTTATTTGCTCATCATTTCTTTTAACATCCCCAATCTTCTTTCTCACGTATTTTTTTCTTCTTGCTAACGTATGTCTTCTAAAACTCCTTTAATAAAAAAAAATTCTCTTGCCAATAACCTGCCATGACTTTTGTCTCTCTGAAAACATTTTTAGTTTTACTTTTGCTCCAATTCTTAGAAGAAAGGTCAGCACATAAAAGTCTATGTGTTTTAACTTTTCCACTCTATATCCATTTTCTCTCCACCCTGAAAAGACAACTCTAATTTAATGTTGTGTTCAGCGACGCCTGGGGGGCTCAGCAGTTTAGCGTCTGCCTTCGGCCCAGGGTGTGATCATGGAGTCCCCGGATCACAACCCACATCAGGGTCCCTGCACGGGATACACTTTTTATAGTGTAATATATTTTAACAGCAAACTTACAGGAACAGCACAAAAGACAAACAGCATTAGAAACATGTGCTTGCATGTAGAACAACTAGAAAAGTATAGTGAATGGTTGGAATCTACTGTATGATAAAAATGTTACAAAGACCATTTAGCTGCCATCAATAAGAAATTTACTTGTTTTAGAAAAAATTCAGATTCTGGCATTGGCCATGTTTATAATTATTATAAAGTTGAACTGCTGAACCGTGTTCACTGAAACATTTTGACTTGCATTAATGGTTTTATGTCCCTGCATTTATACTAAAGATTCACACACAAATTAAAATGGAAAAGCTAAAAAAAAAAAAGAAAGAAAGAAAGAAAGAAAAGAAAATGGAAAAGCTGCCAATACCTGATTTCTTTCCCCTAGCCTTCCACATGCAGTCATATACGTAAGTACCTACTGGCCCCATGGGAAGAAAATATCTAACATTCAGAACTACCAACAACAGGAAGAAGAGAATTTTTTTAATAGAATGAAATGTTTTCCATCATAGTGGATTCTTAAGCACATTCTCAATGTATGCGGCGTGCTAGCTGGATGTCTTTTGGCAGAATTGTTACGTTTGGCATGTATATAGCATGTAGGTTGGTATCTTCAAAAAGGTCCACCAGATAGGACTCACTTGCCTCCTGCCAAGCACTCTGGAAGCACAGATCTGTTTTGAAGCCCTGAGCAGTTTCTCGCACCAGCAGCTGGAAAGGAAGTTTGTGGATCAGAAGTTCAGTGGACTTCTGATAATGTCTAATTTCACAGACAATGGCAGTACCGGGTCTGTAATGATGAGGTTTCTTCACCCCTCCGGTAGAGGGCGCGCTCTTGTGAGAGGCTTTTGTAGCCAGTGGCTTTCTAGGTGCTTTACCATATGAGCATTTGTGGACCGTCTGCTTTGCACCAGCCATGGTACAGAGCCTTCCTTACTTACCCCATCTTCTCTTTTGGCTGGAGCTCAGGGAGCTGGAGGTGGTGACGGCATTAACGAGCAAGAGCGGTGTGGCAGTGACTGTGAGCCTATATCTTTTAACTTTATTGAGCTGTAGTTCATATACATAAAATTCACCCATGTTTTGCATGCAATTCAGTGGTTTTTAGTGAGTTTACCAATATACCAGTTGTGTATACATACATAGATCAGTTGTGTATACATACATTACCATAATTGACTGTTAGAATATTTTTTTAAAGATTTCATTTATTTATTTGAGAGAGAGAACACAAGCAGGGAGGGTGTCAGAGGGAGAGGGAGAAGCAGACTCCCCACAGAGCAGGGAGCCTGACAGGGGGCTCTATCCCAGAACCCAGGATCATGACCTGAACTGAAGGCAGATGCTTAACCAACTGAGCCACCCAGGTGTCCCTATTAGACCTTTTCTGTTATCCCAGTAAGACCATTTACATCCATTTATCCCACTCTCAGGCACAAGCAACCCCTAGTCTGCTTTCTGTCTTCAACAATTTGCATTTTCTGGGCATTTCACAAAGATGGAATTCTATAATATGTGGTCTTTTCTGTCTGGGATCTTTCACTTAGCATTCCACTTAATATTCCATCGTATGAATATAGTTCATTTGATTTATCCATTCCCTAATTGGTTGTTTCCACTTTGGGCTACTATGACTAATGATGCCATGAACATTATGCAAATCTTTCTGTGACCATATGTTTTCATTTCTCTGAGAGTGGAAATGCTGAGTCATATGGTAAATTTAATTTTTAAGAAACTGCCAAATTGTATTTCCAAGTAGCTTCCCACCAGTAGTAGTATTTGAGGATTTTGACTTCTCTACATCCTTGCCAGTGTTTGTTATTGTCTGTCTTTGATGGTAGCCATTGTAGTAGGTGTGAAATAGTAGCTCACTATGGTTTTGATTTGCATTTCACTGGTGACTTTGAGCATCTCTTCATGTGCTCATTTGCTATTGGGTTATCTTTTTTTTTAATTTTTTTTAAATTTTAGTTTAATTCCATTATAGTTAACCCACAATGTTAAATTAGTTTCAGGTGTGCAATATAGTGATTCAACAACTCCACATATCACCTGGTTTACATCACAAGTGCACTCCTTCATCCCCATCACCTGTTCCCACCAATCCTCTCACCCACCTCCCCTCTGGTAACCATCAGTTTGGTTACCAGAGTTAAGAGTCCATTTCTTGCTCTCTCTCTCTCTCTCTCTCTCTCTTCTTTGCTCATTTGTTTTGTTTCTTAAATTCTACATATGAGTGAAATCATATGGTATTTATCTTTCACTGACTGACTTATTCACTTAGCATAACACTCTCTAGTTCTATCCATGCCATTGCAAATGGCAAGATTTCATTCTTTTTATGGCTGAATAATATCTCGTTGTGTATATATACCACATTGTCTTTATCCACTCATCTATCTATGGAGTCTTGGGCAGCTTCCATAATTCTGCTACTGCAAATAATGCTGCAATAAACATAGGGGTGTGTGTATTCCTTTGAATTAATGTTTTTGTATTTTGGAGATAAATACCCAGTAGTGTGATTGCTGGATTGTAGTGTAGTTATATTTTAACTTTTTGAGGAACCTCCATACTGTTTTCCACAGTGACTGCACCAGTTTGTATTCCCACCAACAGAGCACGAGGGTTCCTTTTCTTCCACATCCGCACCAACACTTTTTTTCTTGTGTTTTTATGTTTTAGCAATTCTGACAGGTATGAGGTGGTATCTCATTGTGGTTTTGATTTGCATTTCCCTGATAAGATGCCAAGATCTAAGCATCCATACAAAATTCTAAGCCTTGCTCAGGATTCTTTTTCTTTTTTTTTTTTTCTTTCTTTCTTTTTTCTTTTTTTTTTTTTTTTTTTTGGTAAAATGTCTTTCCAAATCTTTTGCCCACTTTTTGATTGGGTTGTTTATCTTATTATTGACTTGAAAGAGTTCTTTGTATATTCCAGATACAAGTGTGTTATGGATTGAATGTTTATCTCCCTTGAAAATTCATATGTTGAAATCCTAACCGCCAGTGTGATGATATTAGGAAATGGAAACTTTGGGAAGTACTAAGGCCATGAGGGTAGAGTCCTCATGAATGGGATTAGTGCCTCTATATAAGAGACCCCAGATTGCTTTCTAGCCCTCTCTGCAATGTGAGGATACAAGAAACCAGCTGTCACGAAAACCTTAACCATCCTATTTCTCCTATCTCAGACTTACGGTTTCCAGAGCTTTGAGAATAAATTTAAGTTGTTTATAATCAATGGTATTTTGTTATAGTAGCCCAACCTAAGATAAAATCCTTTGCCAGATATGTGATTTACAAATATTTTTTCTCAGTCCGTGTCTTGCCTTTTACTTTGAGTATATGTCCCTTGGAACTTTATCTGTGGAATTCATTGAGGCCTGAATAGACATTGCATTGTTCCAGGAATGAATTGTGTTTACTTCTGGCAATCACCTGGGACACTTGCTTGATACAAGATGACTCCCCCACCAAGTTTACTTTTCAGACAGTAGGAAAAGGGAAAAGGGCAGGACACACTTCTTTACTTTCAGGACAGATGAGGAAGCTGCACACTTACTCCCACTCACAATCCCAGGACTTAGTCGTGTGGTCATCTACGGCTGGAAGGAAGGTTGGGGAATGTAGCCCTCACCTTGGTGGCTGTGTGCCCAGCTACAAATCCTTTGCAAAAGTGATATCACAGTCTAGTAAATAACAGACTCACATTCGATCTCAGATCTGTATGGTTCCAAAGCCATGCCCTTTCCACTATGTTACATTGCCTTCCTAGGAAGGAGCCAACAGGAAATTATTTGTAATAGGCTCCTGAGAACCCTCAGGTCCCCCAGTCAATAAGTAGCAGAGTCAGGCTTGGACATGGATCTTCTCAAAGGATGAGCTTCTCACTATACCACCCTGCCCTCTGGACTATTCCTGGAAGGGAATTTGCAGGGTAATCTGGGTGGCATTGGATTCATTCTGTATTTTTCTAGAGAGCTAGTAATTATCCTCCCAAACTTCATCCCCTCTCTTCTTTCCAGAGAACTAACTTTGTCCTGTGGCCCAGCATTGGGATTTTTTTCCACCTGCTTTGTGGTGCTCATCCCAATTTTGCGGCCCCCTGAGCATCCTCTAAGCCATGGGGCCGGAAGGCGGGGAGTCAGCCTGGAGCCTCCCTGCTAAGGACAGTACTTGGAAGATGATGCCCCTGTTGGAATGTCCGCTGTGATGGTCAGGCAGGAAATGCCACTGGCCTCCAGGCTGCACCTAGAAACATCTATTTGGGCTTGAGAGGGTGACTAAATTTGAAATTTATTGTTTCCTTTTTTTTTTTCCTTTGAAGAATTTTACAGATGTTTGAGAACCAGCTAAGGGGAGATAATTTCAAAAGCAGTTTCCTCCTATTGACAGAGCTCCTGTTAGCTGTATAAGTATGTTTTGAGTTCCCTCCACTTCACTCTTTTATCTTTTTTTTTAAGAGATCTTATTTATTTATTCATGAGAGACACACACAGAGAGAGAGGCAGAGACATAGGCAGAGGGAGAAGCAGGAGTCCAATGCAGACTCGATCCTGGGACTCCAGCATCATGCCCTGAGCTGAAGGCAAACTCTCAATCACTGAGCCATCCAAGCGTCCCAACTCTTTTTGTCTTATGTATGCCCCGTCAGGTCTAGTTCATGAGTGGTTGAGATCTCTCTACCCAGAGATGACAAGCGCCATTTAGTGCTAAGTAAAAAGGTTAGAGAGTCTGTCTTCACATAGGATAGACGCCATAGACAAAGTAAAGCAATTGGAGCTGCTCAAAACCAAGGAACTCACATTGCATCTGTACAAAACAGACATTCATGCCTTTGTTCCCACCTTCATTAGGTTATTAACATATCCTAAAATCGGAGGCCACAATGAATTTGACTTGTCCCAGAGAGAAACTCTAAAATTTGAGATTATTCATCTCTCCCCAGCATACTAGAATTCATCCCCTGAGCCAGTAGGCAGCCCTGGGGTAGGTGCTGTTGGATGGGTGAGGAAAGCACAAAAGAATAAGAGGACACTGCTTGGTTCAGCGAATATTTATATGGCACCTCCCATGTGGCAGGTACCATTCCAGGCATGGTGAATAAAAGAGCCATTCTCCTCCAGGGAAATGTGGTTTCCTGTCTGAGTTACTCATCCCAACAAATAATCAGAGCAAAATACGCTAATGCTCTGCCAGAAAAATGAAATGCCAATTGGGGAAGCCCCCCCTCACCCCTTAACACCTGGAGATATATGTAAGCTAGGATTGAGAGCTGGAATACAGAATGAGCATCCATAGCCCAGGGAAAGAATTCAGAGTCCTTCAGTTCGCTCAAGGACTGAACTGGAGGAGGGTAGGGAGGGAGGGAGACATATCTGGGGAAGCGGTGGCCTCTGTGGACCCATTCTCAGCCTTTCTCTGCCCTGCTCTTACCCTGGAGGCTGACCTGTAGGGACTGTGTTACCTGGGCTTTCACACTGCTGCCTGCCAGCTGAGTTCAGCAAACAGGAGGCCCAGTAGAAAATTAGATGGAGCACAGAGAGTGAGGTTGGCATATTGATTCCTGCCTCCCACCAGCGCCCTCGCTCCCACCAACAGCCTGCTGTTGGCTGTGGCTGCATTCTCTACCAGGCCACCCACCAGGCGGCCTCCTCTCTGTGGCTACAGTTTTCTCCAGATTTCACTAACACTGCTCCTCCTTGTAGGCCTAGAGGTGGGAGCAGTGCTATCATTTCTTCATATTCCACCCTAATTATTTATTATCTGCATTTAACAGTTATTTTTTTTAAGATTTTATTCATTCATTAGAGACAGAGAGAGGCAGAGACATAGGCAGAGGGAGAATCAGGCTCCCTCTGGGGAGCCTGATGCAGAACTCGATCCCAGGACCCTGGAATCCCAACCTGAGCC